TCGGTCAAGTCTAACCAACAGTTAACGAAAAACGCGGTGACATCTCACGGCCACTTTGCAGTGGTATTCTGTATAAGACATGTTACAACTGATCTTTAAAACAAATAATGTTTAAAGAAATATTATATATTTAATTAATTGTATCATAAATAATTACTATGCCAAGATTCTTGTATGCCGAATTTATTGTATTCTAATGAATGCAATTGATACAGTGAGAGAAAAGAAAAATAGCAGTAATCATGATTTATATTGCTTTTTGGCACCAAGATTATTTTCATAGGTGTTCTAACTATATGGTTGGTTATTTGTGGCAATATTATACGTATCAGGTTATTACATTACTGACATTATACTAACAATTTCTATTAAAATGAGTATCGCGATTATATTAAATTGCAGTTATAATCGAAATATCACATATCTTCCTTTCAGTGTATGTTGATTGCAGAAATATGAAAGTACACCTTTATATGTATCTATAAAATATTTTGTCCGAATGTTATGCAATATATTTATATAATCTTAACTTACAAAATTAGCAGACAAAAATGCATAATTGGCAGCTAATCACTGATCAATTTTCATAATTTACAATGTTATATTATCATTCCTTTGTATTACATTTGCGAATAATGTTTAAAAAATTTAAATGTAGAAAATTGTAATTCAATATCTTCTTAACAAAAGATTTTTGTATTACGTTTCAATAAATCCGTATTAAATTTTTAAGACTGAGTTTACGAATAGCAGATTAAAATTAGACCAATCAAGTAATTTAAATTTTAATACATTTTGCTCTGAAAATTTGAATTGTAATATGTTATCTGCAATTTTCCATTTTTAATAAATGATCTGACTTGAAAAATGATTTAAACTGAATCTCGCATAAAATGATTGTAGGAAAATTGTGAAAAGATTTGCTTTTATTTATGTTGAACTTTGTCTAACATTTTTACGATTTTTCTTAATATTAATGTTATAAAATTTTTACGTATTTATTTTCGTATTATTTCTGAAGTAAGCAAAGTACGATTTCAAATATTAAAATCACTTATGAAACAAATCGCTTCGATATCGAACACAGCATAGAGCACCAAATTAAATCATTGCTGCACTTGGTACATTTCATGCAAATTCTTATTGCTTATAATTATTCGACAATTATTGCTTTATGGAATATTCGAGAAACAGTCTTGAAAGCAGTTTCGAGAAAGTCTATTTTCGCAAATATAAAACTTTGCAACTAAGTGGCTCGCGTTGTTATATTTATTTTTCTATCGCAATTAGCACTGGTGTACAGTGATTATCGCCGTGCATTCAGCGACGTGCTGATCGAACATTTCGCGCGTCGACTCAAAGGTCACTCGTTCCATGCATGTCGCGAAGTGTTCCTCGTCGGAGACGTAAGTTATCTTTGATAACCTTATCTTTACTACATTTCTTTTGCTAATCAATTGCCTGCACGCTGCGACTTGAAAGATTCTTACTCCATGCGTTGTGCAACTAGGCCATTGTATAATTGCCATAATTTGTTACGAATTCTGCTTAAACGTTCAATTGGCTTTAGTGACTTTATCGCGTCGTTTACACTTTACTGCTAAATTACGCGTAATTTATCGCGCATACTCCACAGTATAATAATGACAATTTTACACATAGTAATGTAAATGGAGTTTTTTTTGTATACAATAAATGTAACGTTTTATAACGTCCCACACAAAAATTTATTTTAATTTGTGCTTGAAGTGTATGCGGTGACTTATTGTTTATTTTGTCCATCATTTATTCAACTTGCGCCGCATCTAATCGGAAACATTTTGGTCTTTTAAGCCAAATGCTATGTCGGCAACATTACATTTTGCAAATACACAATGATCTTCAGCACGAATATAGCGACAATTTACACTGTAAAATACTGTTGTGTAAATTTATAATAATTATTGTGGATAATATTGAGACCGACATTTATAGGTGTAATTTACTACATGTTTGTAAATTTACAATCCAAAAATAGAAGTTTAATTTTTTATGCTAACATTTTTAACATTAATTGTGTATATATATATATATTGTTGTTTCTTATAATAATATAACGTTTCCGACTAGTGCTCATGTATATATTTAAGTCGAAAAACTGGTGTAATTCCATACGTTTTAACTTATATTTTTTCGTAAACTTTTAAATAATTAATTATAATTTTATTACATAAGTTGGTGGGGTTAAAAGTAAGAATTTAATGCTCGCAATTATTTACATCAGTGCTTTGAATTTTCTCTGCAGTTCAGCCGATTTTCGTGAATGACGCTTTTTTTCTTCTCCTTACCGAGCGCGCTTCAGCGCTAGGACTGACCTTGACGAGCATCAGGAGCGGCACTGTCCAATCAATGATTAAATTCTGCTAGTTTTACTATTAAAATTTTTAAAATGTTCCCCAAATCTACTAAAAAAACTACTCTAAAAAAGATGCATTAACAATATTATCTGACGTGGAAATCTAATGGAATATTTCCATAATAAATTTAAAAATTAAAAAAAACTATTTTTATTACATTTTTTAAATATTAATAACAAAGGGAGACGAATCTAATCATTAATTGGATAGTGCCTTTCTCGACACTCGATGGCACTGATTCTAACGGCTCATGTGCGCGTGGTAAAAATAAGAAAGGCATCAACTACGAGAATCGGCTGAAATGCTGAGATAATTCCAAGCACTGATTTACATTATATAGAAAAACCACAGACGTTCCGGCCTTGGGCTTAGGCCATTTTCAGTGTGGAAAATAAACAAACAATTTTTCGATAAACGATCTAGAAGTTACAACGCAGCGCCTTTTAAAAATTTTACATTTAACGTTATTTGATACATATATAAGATTGATCTCAAACGCAACTTCTTTGGTTATATAGTTTTCTATTGTTGTCTATATTTTCAGATTTTTTAATTTCGAGGTTGGAACGTAAAACCGTTTTTCTTAATTTGATTTCTTTATAGTTATGTACTCTGATGCCGTTGCTAATTAAAATTGAAACCATATTGACTGCACCAATGTTTTCAGTGTGTTTGAATTACATTATGTTTATAAAGAAGTGTTCAAAATGCATCGTCTCATTTTCCGTAACGTCTTTATATTCTTACTCACTCAACTTCATTTTATAACATTGTATTCACTGAGGATTCTGAACAACTACTGTCACTAGTTGCGGAAAATGAGGTGACGCTTTCTGAACACTTTTTAATCAACGTAATGTAATTAAGAAACATTAGAAACATTGGTGCGGTCAATATCGTCTTAATTTTAATTAGACATTAGAGTATTGACTATAAAGAAATCAAATTAAGAAAATACGATTTTGCGTTTCAATCTCGAAATCAAAAAATCGGAATATATAGACAACAATAAAAATTATATAATCAAAGGAATTGCGTTTGAAATCAATCTTAAATATGTATCAAATGGTGTTAAATGTAAAATTTTTAAAAGGCGTTACGTTGTGACTTTTAGATCGATTATCGAAAAATTGTTTGTTTACATTCCACACTGATGATGGCTTAAGCCCAAGGCCGAAACGTCTGTGGTTTTTCTATATGATGTAAATAATAATTGCGGGTATTAAATTCTAACTTTTAGTTTTGCCAGCTCATGTAATAAAATTATGATTAATATATTAAATTAAAAAGCTATATTTATTAAATAAATTTATGATAATTTTAAATAACTATTGCCATTGTAAATTGCATGCAAAATAAAATTTTGCTTTTTTTTGCTGCTACTTACAGTTATATGTGGGTTAAATTTTTTTTACTTTCTGTAGGCAAACTAAATATTTTTCTATAAAATAATAAAATAAAGTGTTTTTCTTTTATGCATATGTATTTTAAGTATAACAATTGTTACATGTCATGTATTAACATTCTCACTCAGTCTAATTATAATAATACTATTAATTTAATTAAATTACTATGAATTGAAAATGCGTTATGTCCATATTCAAAATTATGTACCGCAAACTGAATCATGCAAGCATTGATAGTATTAAACAAGTGATCTAAAAAATTTTACATAAGCGTAATATTAAAATAATAAAATGACGCAATTTTTATAGATACTTGTAATACTTTAGAGAATTAATGCATTATTCATACATTTGCTTACATTATGTTTTCAATGTCTTTAAGTTTTAGTTTTATGAAGTGTCATGATCGCAATTTATATCTTTAATCATAAATAATTATAACCTTTAAAATACAATTAATTTAAATATTGTTCGAATTGTTTTAATTTTTTCAATTATATTTTGAATTATAATAATTAAAAAGTTGTGTCGTTATAATTTTTTGTTTTTTCAGATTTTCGATAGCTACAAACATTTGAAAAATCTTGTATTATTATCAAATTTATTTGATAGACGTTAGCTTCTGATTGTGTTATTAAATAAATAAATTAAAAATTATTATGAAAATAGCCAAATGATACAATAAGCATTTGTTTTAAATATTTTTCAATTGTATAAAGAAATCGTCTTACATATGTTACAGCATACATTTTGTTAATGAGAAATTAATCTTTTTTATTTACTGAAAGTATTATTAATTTAAAAGGCTAAGTATAATAACTGCAAAATTTAAACTGACATACTCGTATTTTACCACAAATTATTATTACATTAATATTACATGTAGTTCAAAAACCTCTAATAATAAAAAAATCACTAGGGAGTCGTAATAAATTTACATTACCTAAAGTACAATAAATGTTCAGGCTACACGTACGACTAAGATACACATAGAATTGTAAGAAAGAAAAATTAAACTGAAATATTTTGCTGAATAACTTATTGACAAATTTTGTTTCTGAACTGGAGAGTCGATTGTTATTTTATAAAATTGGTTTATTTTATAAAATTACAAGCATAGTTTATAAATTTAAGACAAATTACATATAAGCAAAATATATCAAATATATTAAATATATCAAATATATTTTATAAATTTCAAAAATGAAACTTAATCTTTCTCATAAAGCGTCAATTTATAAACGTATTTATAATTTTGTAAAAATAGAACGAATTATTACATGTGAGAGATACATTAATTTCTGTGTTTATTATAAATTGTTTCAATTACCAAAGTCAAGATTGCCTTTCGTGGTGCCTGGTTGTCGTGCTACATGATTGCCGCTAGCATCATTCACCTTTGGATAAACCTATAAAATTTATAACTATTTACATGTGAAACAAGTTGTCTGGCTATTGTTTGCATTTGTTCTACTAAAACGCAACTCGTCAAAGTTAAAATTAGTTATATGCACATATATAATTGTATTAACAATAAAACTGTCACCTTTTTCTCTACTTTTTTCTTTCTGTGATTGGCTTTCTCCAGCTATCTTATACTCTTCTTTCCCACTTGGTGATTTGTTCAGATGTGTATTATTAATATGGTGTTGTAAATTCGTTAATTGAATATCAAGATCCGTTTTTTCAGAGCAAATTTGACATAGCACTTGAAAATCTCCACTGATGTCACAGTATTTCCAGGCCCAATCACTGTCGTTATGGTCATAATAACATGAATTATACATTTCTTCATGGTACGTGAATATATGCTGAAGTAACGAGTCTTCTAGAAACGGTTCAGTATGCAAATTTTCGCAGAGAAAACATTGTAATTTCTTTTCGTCATAATACTTGAAAAGTTTCCACGGAAATCTTTTGTTTTTTTTTTCGTATAAAGTAGCTTCGTTATGATGTTTTTCTAAATGTTGATGAAACTTTTTAGTGTCGACATAATATCCTTGAAAATTGTTGCAAAATTTGCATTTTGCTCTAAAATAATGAGGCCTGTGTAATGTGTAATTGTGCAATAGTTCTTCCTTATTTGTGACATTAGTTGCATCATCTATTGCGCCCGTTTGCATATTTTCCAATTCGTTCTTATGCTTGCTTAATAAATGGTGTAATAATGTTGATGCAATTTGAAGACGTATAAATGTATTACAATTCTTCAGTTTGCACTTCGCATCAAAAGAATCAATTTGTTTCATATGTTCCTCCTTAGTTCTGCTCGCTTCATAATATGCAACTTCTTCTACAGGATGTGATTGTATGTGTTCGTCAAAATCTTCTTGCAAAACATGCTTTTCACAAATGTCACATTTTATGAATGTTGAGTTGTAATATATATCCTGTTTAGTTTTTTCTAAGTTTTTGTTTGCTTCATCGATAAAATAAATTTTATGTTTGCTTGAACGTAAGTGTGTTAAAAAAGTTGAATCGTTGATGTAGATAAAACTATCTCCGCACTTCCTGCACTTTGCTTGAAATTTCTCTTCGCTAATTCTTTTAAAATAATCCCACACATTGTCTTTAGTTATGTCCACTTTTGACATTGTGTCTGTTTCAACTGACTAGACGCAGCTAACTGAATACGAGTCTTACATACAGGAGCCTTTATACCGTGAACTGTTCCACAGAAGAAAATAAAGGAAGAAACATGATATAGTTTTTCTTTTCAACGTAAATATTGATACGTCGGTCAAGCCAATTCAACAGATATCAAGTGACGCGGTGACATCTCACGGCTCTTTTGCATACCAGTGGCACTCTGTATAAAACATGTTACAACTAATCCTTTAAACAAATAATGTTTAAAGTAATATTAAACATTTAAATATTTGTATCTTAAGTAATTATTATATCAAAGAAATACTTGTGTGCCGAATTTATTGATATTGTGATAAATGCAACTGATACACTCAGAAAAAAGAAAAATAGCAGTCATCATTATTTATATTAAAAATTGAAAAAGAAATAGAGATCAAGAACTGATGCAGAATCCAATTGCTTTAAAATCTTCTGTATTATGTGATATCATAAACGTTTCGTAACGTTTGATATTCAAACATTCTCAGTACATATTTTTTAAATTTATGTTACAAAATTGAAATGTTAGAATTAAAATAGTATCGCAATTAAAGGTGTGCATATTATTTGTATGAGAATTATAAATTAACGATGTTTGGCTATATATTGAAATATCTGAACTTATCTCAACATTATTTATATTGCTTTTTGGCAGCAAGAATATTTCTATACATGTTCTAACTATATGGTTGGTTATTTTTGGCAACATTATACGTATAAGGTTATTACATTGCTAACATTATACTAACAATTTCTATAAAAATGAGTATTGCAATTATAATTATATTAGAATGCAGTTACTATCCAAATATTACACACTTTTGTTTCAGTGTATGTATGTTGATTGTAGAAATATGAAAGTACACCTTTATATGTATCTATAAAATATTTTGTCCGAATGTTATGCAATATATTTATATATTCTTAACTTACAAAATTAGCAGACAAAAGTGCTTAACCAGCAGCATAATCACTAATAAATTTTCATAATTTACAATGTTATATTATTATTCCCCTGTATTACATTTGCAAGTAATGTTTAAAAAACTTAAATGTATAAAATTGTAATTCAATTATGTCTCAATAAAAGATTTTAGTATTAAATTTCAATAAATCCGTATCAGACTAGATTTTAAAGCCTGAATTTACGAATTGGAAATTAAAATTAGACCAATCAAACAATCATAATTTTAATAAATTTTGCTCTGAAAAATTGAATTATAATATGTTATTTGCAATTTTTCATCTTTCATAAATAATCTGACTTAAAAAATGTTTTAAACTTAATCTTGGATAATACGGCTGCAGAAAAAATTATGAAAAGATTTGCTTTTATTTGTGTTGAATTTTACCTAACATTTCCACGATTTTTGTAAATTCTGATATTAAAAAATTTATACATATTTATCTTTGTTTTAGTTCTGAAGTAAACAAAGCACGATTTCAAATATTAAAATCAGTGATGGAATAAATTACAACAAACACAGCATACAGCACTGCATTAAATCATTGTTGCACTTGATATATCTCGTGCAAATTCTTATTGCATATATTTATTCGACAAATATTGCTTCATCAGTGCTCGGAATTATCTTAGCATTTCAGCCGATTCTCGTAGTTGATGTCTCCTTTCCTCTTCTTACCGCGCGCACATAAAGTGCTACAAGGACAAAATTTTATATCCAAAATTACTATGTACGGTAGTAGATGCGGGTAGTAGATGAAATGAAATATTCGAGAAGAATATAAAACTTTGGAACTGAGTGGCTCGCGTTGTTATTTTTCTTTTTCTTTTGCAATTAGCACTGTTGTACAATGGTTATCGCCGTGGTCAGTGACGTGCTGATCGAACATTTCGCGCGTCGACTCGGGGATCACTTGTTTTGTGCATTTCGGAAATTGTTGCTCGTCGGGGCGTTGTTAGTTAGTTATCTTTGATTACTTTATCATTACTACATTTCCTTTGCTGATCGATTGTCTGCACGCCGCGACTTGGAAGATGCTTACTCCATGCGTTGTGTGACTATCCCATTTTATAATTGCCATAATTTGTTACAAATTCTGCTTAAACGTTTAGTTGGCCTTTGGTGACTTTATCACTTGGCTTTCCTGCCAAATTACACGTAATTCATCGCGCATACTCTACAGTATGTTAATGACAATTTTACACATAGTAATGTAAATGGAGTTCTTTTTGTGTGCAGTAAATGTTATTTTATTTTATAACGTCCCACACAAAAATTTATTTTAATTTGTGCTTTGAGTGTATGCGTTGAGTTATTGTTTATTTTGTTCATCATACATTCAACTCGCGCAGCATCTTGTCGGAAATATTTTGGTCTTTTAAGCCGAATGCTATGTCGGTAACCTTACATTTTGCAAATACACAATTATCTTCAGCACGAATTTAGCGACAATTTACACTGTAAAATACTGTTGTCTAAAATTGATAATAATTATTGTGGATAATATTGAGATCAACATTTTAGCTAATTTTCGTGATTGACGCTTCTTTCCTTTTTCTTACCGAGTACATCTCAACGCTAGGACCAGCTTCGCCAAACGTCAGAAGCGGCATTATCCAATTAATGATTAAATTATTTTCCCTTTATTATTAAAATTTTTTAAATGTTTCCCAGAGGGGAGAAAAACATATTTTAAATGTTCTACTGAGGAAACCACTCTAAAAAGGATCTATCAGCAATATTATCTGACGTGGAAATCTAATGGAATATTTCCATAATAAATTTAAAAATTAAAAAAGACTATTTTTAATACATTTTTTAAATATTAATAATAAAGGGAGAATTATCTAATCATTAATTGGATAGTGCCGTTCTCGACACTCGACGGCGCTGGTCCAACACGGGGAAAATTTTATATAAAAAATTACTATGTACGGCAGTAACCGCAAACCATGAAGTCGCGGATCGAAAATTTTTACTATGTTTCACATGTGAAAAACAGTAAAAATTTTTATAATTCCTTCGTGGTTTGCAGCTACTACCGTACATAGTAATTTTGGATATAAAATTTTGTCTTTGTAGCATTTCATGTGCGCACGGTAAGAAGAGGAAAGGAGGCATCAACTACGAGAATCGGCTAAAATGCTAAGATAATTCCGAGCACTGATTTACATGATATAGAAAAACCACAGACGTTTCGGCCTTGGGCTTATGCCATCTTCAGTGTGGAAGGTAAAGAAACAATTTTGATAAACGATTTAGAAATTTCAACATAACGCTTTTTAAAAATTTTGCTTTTAACACCATTTGATACATATTTAAGATTGATCTCAAATGCAATTTCTTTGGTTATATAATTTTTATTGTTGTCTATATTTTCATATTTTTCAATTTTGAGGTTGAAACGCAAAACCGGTTTTCTTAATTTGATTCCTTTACAGTTATGTATTCTGATGCCGTTGCTAATTAAAATTGAAACCATATTGACCGCACCAATGTTTTCAGTGTATTTGAATTACATTATGTTTATAAAAAAGTGTTCAAAATGCATTGCTTCATTTTCCGTAACGTCTTCATATTCTTACTCAGTCAGCTTTATTTTATAACATTGTATTCACTGAGGATTCTAAACAACTACTGTCACTAGTTGCGAAAAATGAGGTGACGCTTTCTGGACATTTTTTAATAAACGTAATGTAATTGAGAAACACTGAAAACATTGGTGCGGTCAATATGATCTTAATTTTAATTAGGCATTAGAGTAGTGACTATAAAGAAATCAAATTAAGAAGATATGGTTTTGCGTTTCAATCTCGAGATCAAAAAATCAGAAAATAAAGACAACGATAGAAATTATATAATCAAAGGAAATGCGTTTGAAATCAATCTTAAATATGTATCAAATGGTTTTAAATGTAAAATTTTTTAAATGCGTTGCGTTGTGTTTTTTAGATCGTTTATCGAAAAATTGTTTACATTCCACACTGATAATAGCCTAAGCCCAAGGCCGAAACGTCTGTGGTTTTTCTATATAATGTAAATAATAATTGCGAGTATTAATTTCTAGCTTTTAGCTTTGCCAGCTCATGTAATAAAATTATGATTACTGTATTAGTTTAGAGAGTTATATTTATTAAATAAAATTATGACAAATTTAAATGATTATTGCCATTTCACAGTTGTACTTTTGGTTTTAATTTTAACTAAACTTTAATTTTTATTTTCTATACGGAAAGATAGTAAAAATATAATTAAAAAAGATAAATTAAGTCTTCAATAATACGATTAATTGTAATATTTAGCCTCTAAGACACTCACGTAATTCACATATGCAAAATTTATCAAAGTCTATTTTTTATTTTATAATATATTCTATTAATATGATGTTATTATTATTATGTAACTTTTATTTTTTAATTTATTTTATACTACTTTGGTTTTGTGAAAATATTTTTTAGTTATTAATTTATTTTAATTAACAAGATGCTTGAAAAATTTAAAAAAAATTTATTGTCATTGGAAAAATATTTAGTAAGATTACACAGATAAAGTAATTTTCCGAATATAATTTAATAAATTTTTGTTATATAATAAATTAACTTAAAATGAATTTTTACTTCTTCTTTTATGTTACGTTATGGTAAAATTTATCGAATTTTCTTAAAAGCAATCTCTCGCGGATTTCTATTAAAAAGCAAAAGGCAGTTCTTACCATTTGAAAATCTCAGTGCAAGAGCGTGGCGTTCTGTTACTGTTACTTTGCAGAAACTGCACGATTACATTATCAGATGATCATTAACGTTACAAAACAATATATTAAATCAGGTAGCGTTTGAGGAAATTGTAAAATTCTATCCCGCATTTCTTATACAAGATAGTGATTAAGTATTTCGCAGAAATCGAATTTTAAAAAAAATCAGCTTTTTGTGTTACTCCAGACTCCAGAGCAAAGTGTTACCAATAGAAAATTAAGGAAAAAATAACATATATAATTTTTACATTGCGAAACATTTCATATGTCAAGTAAATTATAATACTTCATTACGTAAGCATAACATTAAA